GAGGCATCAGTGGTTTCTGTCACCTTTGAAAAATGATTCATTTTTATGAGCCTTGTTTTTCACTATTGGGAAACTTGATAACATTTCAGAGCCTGAAATCCTTCCCTAAGCTGAAATAACCTGTTTAAAGTAAGTATAAGCCAAGCCTAGGCTAGACGCGCAGAGATTTCAAAAAAAAAAAAAAAAAATCCTTGAACCTAGAAACAGGTCTGTTCATATTATTGCAATAAGGAAAATAAGTCATAATTGGATTTCACTGAATCGCAATTTACCCTGAAACTAATTGTATTATATTAGGGAAATCTAAGACTCACAAATGCACTGATTAGTGCATCTGCTGTATTGCTCAGTGCCATCGTTAATCAGCCATAATGATCCTCTACGGAGCCTCAGAATCCTTCACAACACAGAGCAATGGGAGGAACCTAAATACCATTTCTCATTCTCACTGAATAAAGACGTCACCACCAATTGCCATTTTGCCATCAGACAAACGCTAAACTCATCCTCTTGATGTACATTCTGGGTTTGACGCTGGTTGGCTTACACTAGGTAGCTCAGGGGTAGACCTCTAAACTTTGGTGACACTGGCATCCCATTTCTCTTTCACAAATAATCTATTTTTCATTTGTTCTGCTTATATCTTACCATAACTTATTTCCTTTATTCTCTTTATAATAGTTTACATGTATATATGTCCTTAATCTTATAAACTTCCTTAATCTTATAAATTATATATAGAGAGGAAACTTAATAAATTTTCTTCATCATAAATTATATATAATATGTAAATTATATATTGGATTTTGTTAATCTTATAAAAATTTTCTTAATCTTGTAAAATATACCTATAATATATAAAATAAAGATTAAATTTCCTTAATCTTATAAATTATACATATATAATGTATATGATTTACAAGATTAAAGAAATTCCTAGCAGCAGAGAAATGTGCAATCAGATAAAATAAAATTGCCTTTTCCTTGAGATGAACTTAGTGGCTATGGTCCCTGTAGAACACACTGGAAGGAGATAAGCTCTATTCCGCAGCAGTAAAAGTTGAGATAATGATCAGCAAGTGATTTTTCCACAATGGTGAGATTTTTCCATCAGATTTCATTTGACCTTGAACACTGTGCTAGCAATGAATAATTAATGGTACCTCTTACAGTAATGTTCCATTTAACTGGCATTATCAGGGAATTAGATGCCCTAAGTGAGTGAACTGGCCAGATACTAAGACTTACTTCCTTTAAGCACTAAGAAAATCTTCATTATAACTATTCCTTGTGCTTATTTTTCTAAAATATGTAGTAAGATTGTGTGACTTATTGACATTCACTGAAACATTAACATCTATCCATTCAACAAATGCTTATTGGAAGCCTAATATGTGCCAAGAACTATGACAGGTATGGGCACTATGATAGTGATTGAAGAGGCAGAGTTCCTGTCCTTACTAAACCCGTGTTCTAGTGAAGAAGAGATAATTAAACAAGGAATCCCACTGAACGAAGTGCTAGGATAAGAGAAGTAGAGACTGTTATGAGCCAAATTGAACTGAACGGCAAAGCCATTGAATTCAAAGTTGTTTGAGTTCTCCAAAACAGTTTGCCTCTCCATTAAATAACCTCTGATTGCTGTGTCTTAAGTCCTTGTGATTGATCTTGGTAATTTATGGATTAACTCTTTTAAATGCGGCTATGTTCTTGCTGCTTGCTATGTGTATGATGCTGCTCCTACTATTTTTCTGCAATACAATAAAGTACATAAAGTTATTAAACTAAGATTGGTAAATACATGGTATGTTAGTTACCCATTGCTGCATTAACGGGTTACCTCCAAAATATATCAGCTTAAAACAATGCACGTTTATGTTTGCACCGTTTCTGTGAGTCAGGAATCTACAGAAACCCAGCACACTTTACTGGAACCTCTGCCTTAGGGTCTCTGGTCTCTGACATGGCTGTGTGCAGTGAAGTGATAGAGTCTCATGTGAAGGCAGGATTCTCTTCTTCAAAGGCTGTTGGGTTGAGAGCTTTAGTTCTTTGCTGGCTGTTGCCTGGAGGCCGCCCTCAGTTCCTTACAACATGAGCCTCTCCAGCATGGCTGCCTTCTTCATCACAGCTAGCAGAAAGAGCATCTGCAGGAAGATGGAGCTGACAATCTAGAAATTATTACTTTAAACCATTCATGCCAAAGTTGCCCTTAAAAATCTTGGCGGCAGCTATCAAAGAAATAACAGATTCAGGCAAGAATCATCAACAAGGGCTAGAACTCTGATGAGGAATAAGATAATTACAGAGCCTCAAAGTTTGTCCCAACAAAATATTAGTGAATTACTCATTAAGTACTAAGTACAAAATATTTAGAAATAAACTTTACACTGAAGAATACACACACACACACACACACACACACACACACACACACGAAATATATATATCGGGAAATCCCCCAATCTGACACAGAGATAAAACCAAAACATAAAGATAGTCCATGGTGTCTGATATCCACTCCAGTATTTTTCATTGAGTAAAATGTTGATGACTCTTGTTCAGTATAGCCAAGGGAATAATCTGTGTCCTGGTCAAGACTGGATTCTTCTTATATATCTTCAACCATAACATGATCTGATTTATCTTATATTCTGTGATGTGCATGTCCTGATTCACAGCCTTACAGTGAAATATTTGTCTTTATTAATTAATTTTTGCTACAGACTTTGCTTTGCTTCCATTGACTTGGAAAATGGTGGATATAGTTGTACCATGTTGTAGTTCTGTTTTGAACTAGACTCCTCTGTTTCTGTACAGATTCCCCAACTAGATATTTTCCCTATGGCAATGATTTGGAAGATGGGTTATGTGGTAGGCTTCAGCGGGTCCTCTCCCACTTTCACAGCTACCTTTTTCCCTTTTACAAAAGAAAGGTCCCCTTCTCACTCAACCTGAATCTCATTGCAGTGCATTGCCCCAGGGGGAAAAAAAAAACAGGTCTCCAAACAAAGAAGTGATTCAAAATCTAGCTGTTTCAATGTTGAGAAAGTGAAAGATTCTAATGATTGAGTTACAAATCCTTTCCTAAGTCAACCAGTTTTCAATTCTTTGCTTTCAACAAAATTGAAGGAGGATCTGATGGAGTTGTCAGCTGGTACAGCATTAAAAATATTTTTTGATGATAGATCACCATATAAATTTTGGCAAATAACTTGAAGGAGTTTAAAGAATTGAGTGATGTTGCTATAAATCTCTTTCCATTCTCTTCTAGTAATGTGAACAAAATTTTTCAGTCCTTACAGCTATGATTAAAAGCAAAGGAAAGAAATAAAATTTATGCTGAACCCTGTCTCTTTTGGACAATAAAAAATATTTAGAAGTTAATGGGAGGGAGGGAAAAGCCCCATCCATCTCATTTAAGATATGCAATTCCAGCCTAGCATGGTGGCTCACACCTATAATCCCAGTACTGTAGGAGGCCAAGGTGGGAGGATTGCTTGAACTAAGGAGCTCAAGGCCAGTCTGGGCAACATAGTGATACCCCAAGACCTCATGTCCAAAGAGGGAAAATATGCCCTAGTGGCACATCCCCTTCGCTATGATTCTGTTTGAAGGACGACCATCTTGCTAGGGTTATGTACACCCTATCAAGACCCAGTAGATTCTGGGTAAAACAAGAATAAATAGACTCAGCATGAAGAGGAAAGTCAGCAGTGATTTCTAAATTCTCTGAGCCTTATTAAAACGCAGATTCCTTACTACTCAGCCATAAAAATGAACTAAATAATGGCATTCACAGCAACCTGGATGGAATTGGAGACCATTATTCTAAGTGAAGTAACTCAGGAATGAAAAACCAAACATCCTGTGTTCTTACTCATAAGTGGGAGCTAAGCTATGAGGACACAAAGGCCTAAGAATGATATAATGGACTTTGGGGACTTGGGGGGAAAGGGTGGGAGGGGGTGAGGGGTAAAAGAATACACATTGAGTACGGTGTATATTGCTCGGGTGGTGGGTGCCCCCAAATCTCAGAAATCACCGCTAAAGAACTTACCCATGTAACCAAACACCACCTGTTCCCCAAAACCCAATTGAAATAAATTTTTTTTTCTAATGCGGATTCCTAGACCTTGTCAACAAGATATTCTGATTTGGTGGGTGTTGGAAAGAAGTACTTTTAATAAACACCCCAAGCACAACCCCTGCCAGTTGATTTTGTTGGGATTTGTCTGTGTACCACAGCTTGAGCTGATCTTTAACCATGATGTAGCCTTTTCAAGTGCATTTTTACGGTTTCCCTCTGGTATTTAGTATTCTTAAAAGTTAAAATGAGTCAGTAAATTGGCTTAGGGTAAGAGAGTTGTTAGTGTACAATATTTTTTTGTAGTTTATTATAGTGTGATTCTTTATATCAAGTGACTCTAAATACTAAAATACTACGTTTAGTTGGAAACATAATCAGCCACCTAGAAAATAACAATTATTATTTAAGTTTGATTGAATTTTAAAATACTTAAGCTCCAAAGAAGAATGTGGATAGGGAAAACAGATTTGTAGAAAAAGAGATGTGAATGATAAACATTTTAACTGATTCTTTCTCATTAAAATAATAAAAGTATTCTGTGATAGTGAAAGGGGAAAGGTTCCCTTGTCCATCTCACAGGGCATGCGATGGGGGTATGGCTCGCTTCTTCAGTGTCCCGGTGCTCAAACCTCTAGCGGAGCATACAGACGGGCAGGCTGTAAGAGTCAGACCCCTCAGCAGTGTCTAGGTGAAGTTCACAGCTGAAGCCCCGGGGCGTATGTTACAGGATGCTCTTTTAGTTTAGTTATCCATAGGCAGTTTGTGTCAGTCAGCTCAGTTAGGCCCCTGCCGTATCACAAGGACAGAGGGCTTTCTGTATCCCAGGGTTCTTGCCTTGGTATACCAGAAAAATCAGATCACACATGGGATGGGAGAATGAGTGCCAGGTCTTATTGAGTAGAAGTAGCTCTCAGCAGATCGGGGAGCCAGAAGGGAGTTGATTTTCCCCTGGAGTCAGGCCACTCAGCCACTTGGGCTCTCTTCCGACTGCCCAGGCCAAACTTCACCTCCTTCCACCGTTGATGGCCTGATGGCCTGCTGGCATGCCCATGTGCTCCTCCACTGATGAGTTCCTCTCGACGTCCAGCCAACTGGGGGTCTGTCTGCTAAGTCTCTGGGTTTCTATAGGCACAGGATGGGGGCATGGCAGGCCACCGTGGTCTTGAGAAATGTAACATTTGAGCAGGAAAACAAAAATACCTGTCTTCACCTAGGTCCATGGGCAAGGGATCAGGGGTGGAGCCCTAGCCAGGGAACTTACCCTCCTCCTAGCACCTTCCCTGTCCCCCTTCTGTATCAATAGCAATGTAATAATATCGAAGAAAGTCTATGACAAAATAGTCATGAGGTTAGGACTGTGGATCTGTATCGGTCCCACAAAATTAATTTGGCCATACCTGTAAACAATATTGTAAAATTTTATCCTTTTAGCCAATAATTCTACTTCTATAAATCTAGTTAAAGGAAGTGCAAAACTACCAGATTTGTCCACTGTAGAATTGTATATTACTTAATTATAGAGTGATAGCACCAATAAATAGAAAACAACTCATATAAGGGACAAAATTTCCTGGAGTAAATTTTCTGGAATATTATATAGTTCTTTAAAATGTTATTGCTGAAAAAATTTAATGTTACGAGACAATGTTCAGGATATAATGCTAAATAGGTCTCAAATATATTGAAAACAAATAAGAAAGGAACAAAGGAAGAGAGAGAGGGAGAAAAGGAAGCAAGGGAAGGGAGAGGGAGGGAGAGAGGAAGAAAATCTAAAATATATATAGGTAAGACAAAATACCCGGTGAAATTAAGGGTAATTTTTATTTTCTTATTTATATTTTCTTTAGTTTTGAAATTCTTTGCAATACATGCATCCATTTTATAATCCAAAACAGTGTTGCTTTAAAAACCATATTAAGTAGGTATTCCAACTTCTGAACTGCTGATTCTAAGGAAAAATAGATTTCGCAGTCCACTGGCAGCATATTTGTGCAAAGCCCAGTAGAACTAGTGTATTCCCTTATTCCCCAAGTCCATAGGCAGCAGCCTGACCTACAGGCTGATACATATTTCCCTCTTTCTCCTCCCTCCTTCTCTGTCTGTCTGTCTGTCTCTCTCTCTCTCTCTCACACACACACATACACACACACACACACATAGACATACACAATCAGAGGATATTCTAGCATGTCTCTCGAGAGCCCGCTTCCTTTCCTTTGTCCTGAATAATTTAAATGGAGCTGAAGGAAGCTATTCTTTTCCATAATCTTGATATTAAAGGGTGGAGAGAACCCTGCAATGAGTTCCTTTCCCTTATCTGTATGATCATGATTAAGTGTCACCTCTTACATTATTCATTCATTCAACAAGTCATGTTGAGTGCCTGTTAGATACTCAGCTAGTCACTCTGATGGAGACAAAAATTTAGTTGCTCACTCATCTGTTTCATCAGTAAATAGTATTTCCTATAGTACTTACCCCCTGTGTGACAGAGGTTGTGTGAGACATTGCAAATCGTGAGCTGCGATCGTGCCACTGCACTACAGCTTGGTGACACAGCGAGACCCTGTCTCAAAAAAAAAGACATTGCAAATACAGTAGGAAACTAGATAGATAAAGTTCCCGCCTTCAAGGAGATCATGGTCTAATAAGAGAGCGAGCCAAACAGACAAATAAAAAGAATTACAGCTGTAGTATGTGCCATGCAGAGACACACAGGTTTCAGAACAGAAACTAGCTCCACTACCTAAATAGGTAAGGGGTCAGCGAATGCCTCTCTGGGTTGGGGAATTGGGGTGAGAGTAGGAGAACAAGAAGAAACCAGCCCGGGAGAGCTGAGTTCAGATGGAGACAGACTGCAAGCTCAAAGCTGAGGCAAGAAAGGATGTAAGCAGCTCTGGGAATGGGAAGGTGCTCTGTGGGATGGCATTCCGGAGGCTCAGAGGAGGGGTGTGCAGCCTCTTTTGCCAAGTAATGACTTTGGCTGGATCCAACACAGAGTTTGAGTCCAAGTTTGTATCTTAAATGAGCAGAATAGTGAATGGATATAATTATGATATAAATCAGGAGACAACAAATATTTTCTGTAAAGATCCAGATAGTAGGTAATACATTTGGCTTTGCAGGCCTGAGAGTCTCTATGGCATTGCTCAACCCTGCCATTGGAAGGAGAAGGCAGCCATATACAATGTGTAAAAGAATGGGTGTGGGCCAGGTGCTGTGACTCATGCCTGTAATCTTAGCACTTTGGGAGGCTGAGGTAGGTATCGCTTGAGCCCGGGAGTTCAAGACCAGCCTGAGCAACATGGGAAACTTGTCTCTACTAAAAATACAAAAGATTAGCTGGATGTGGTGGCACACACCTGTACCCCCAGCTACTTGAGCGGCTGATGTGGGAGGATTGCCTGAGTCCGGGAAGTCAAGGCTGCAGTGGGCAGAGATTGTACCACTGTACTCCAGCTTGGGCATCGGAGTGATACCAAATAAATAAATAAATAAATTACACACACACACACACACACACACACACACACACACACACACACATATAAATGGTGTCTTCATCTACAGACACAGGGAATGGGTCAGATTTGGCCACAGGCTGTAATTCACCAGTCCCTGATACAAAGGATA